TCCTCCCACCTTTCATCTGTGCATGTGTGTACGGGATCTGGGTACCTTCTATGCATGACCCAGACCCCACCATCTCATGATTGTATGGTGTGGAGTGATGCCATGTAGGTCAGTCTATGTGAGTCAGTCTATGTGAGTCAGTTCGTTATCAGACTTCCACTGCATAAATACTCATCCTATATTGGTTGATTCTTGGTTCTGCCCATACTCATTGGAGTATGTAACACTGTCTGTCTGTCTGTCTGTCTGTCTGTCTGTCTGTCTGTCTGTCTGTCTTTGTATAACCCGGTCTGGTAGTTGCGTAGTCGTAGACATAGCCCAACCCAAACGTACTGATTAGTGCGGAAAAAACTGCAGCTTTGTTTTGTTGTCCTGGTTATAGAACTGAACTTCGCCCCTGTTGCGCTTGACGTTGTGCCCCAGAAGGGTCAGGGAGAAATTTGCAGTCAGTTGCTTTTCTCTGGGAAAGTTGGACGAGAGGTGGTGTTCCGCTAACTGCTAGTATAACGAATATGTTGGCCACAATCTTGGCATGGCGACATCTGGGCTGAGTTATTTGGAACCGGTCTGTTGTGATCTCTTTTTTTTTTTATGTTTGTCCTGTGTTTAGTGGGGGTGGGTTGTTTGCGCTCTTGGACTCAATGGTGATATTACCTTTCCAGCCTATTTGTTGAACTCGTCATGTATGAACTGATTGGTGGTTTCTATGGCAGAGCAAGCTAGAGTTTAAGCTGCGGGTGCAAGAGTTCATTGAGCTGGTACGGGCGGAGAGGATGATGGAAGCGATAGTTTATGCAAGAAAGCACTTGGCGCCTTGGGGATCAACAAACATGAAAGAGTTGCAGCAAGCGATGGCTACTCTTGCTTTCAAGAGTGGTACGGACTGCTCCGGTTACAAGGTCTGTCACTGGTTGGGCGTGCGAATGATGTGCAGGTGTTGTTATTATTGCAAAAAACTATTTCGGTTTCAGCCTCTCTCTCCCCCTGTTTTGCTCCGACACACACACTTGGCTGTGATGGACATGTTTCTTCTTGGACCTTCTACCTTTATTGTCAGGTGTTGGAATAGACAGTCCGCTAGGATCGCATGGCTGGTGTGAGGTAAGTCGACCGTCTTTCTCAGGGGTGTTGCTCACTTTGGGCAAAATTGTGATTCTTCCTTATCCATCGGTCAGATGCATCCTGGGCAGACTGTCGTTATCATCGTGTCGATGATGAGTCGGTAAAAGTCTGATTAAACAAGTGGTCACTGCTGGGATTGTAGGGCTGGTGTGAGTTAATTCAATCACTTCTCAGGGGTTTCGCCGACTTTGGGCAAAGTTGTGATTCCTTAACCATGTCAGGTGCATCCTGGGCAGACTGTCAGAGATCATCGTCCTGACGAGTCGACGAAAGTCTGATAAAACAAGCGGTCACTGTCACCACATTCTTTGTGGCTGGGCAGACTGTCAGAGATCATCATCCTGGGCAGACTGTCAGAGATCATCATCCTGACGAGTTGACGAAAGTCTGATAAAACAAGCGGTCACTATCAACACATTCTTTCTGGAGTTGTGTTTAGTGAATACAAAGAGTCGGTGAAAGTTGAACGAAACAGTCTTTTTAGTTGGAGCTGTATATAGCGGATATGACAATACACATGGTTTTGGGATGTCAAATTTGAATGCCCAGGCCCCAGGATGAGCCAAGGGGGGAGTGTCTGCTGATTTGCCTTTTGCGGTCCAAGCGTGACTTAAACTCCCAGTACATGGCCCCAGGCAACTGGAGAACCTGTTTTGAGCCTCTCCGGAAATTTAGGAGGCCAAGCGCCGTAGATAAAATGAATCGGCGATGGGAGGCCTCCGAGAGGGCGCCCGCGGCCGATAGCTGGCATGTATTGGTGCTTTAACGAGATGAAAATGTACAAACTGCCCCCCCCCCCCTTCCCCCTGAACTGTTGAAATGCAGACCTGAGTTCAAACTCCACTATGAGTAAAAAATTGCAATTTTGAATTACCTTGGGGCACTCAGATCGCTGATGATGTCTCAAGGCCGTCTCCCTTTTAAAAAAGAGAAGGAAAAGAAAAAGGAGATGAATGTGTGGGGCACTTCACTCTCAACCACACAGGTATGGGGAACCCTGCACTTTTTTTCCATGTTTTCCTACGAGCTTCGGAGGACGGAACGGGGTTGTGTTTGGTGCTTACGCGAAAGTAACACACTCACTCACACATGCATGCAGTTTTGGTGGATATTTGATTTCCGTGCAACGCCCGCCTAGGATCAGATCTGGGATGTGCTTGTTGTTTTCCTGTATCCTGTGCAAAATACCTTTTAGGCTGTCTCTACGTAGCTCTCCCACCTTCTCCCAGGTGCAGGGTCTTTTTGATGAAAGGACGAGGAGTTTTGAGTAGTACAATTGGGCCGACTATAATGAAATGGTATTCACCTGTTAACAGTAGCGAATGCAGATCCCAGGGCTTGATCCCTAGTTCTTACCTTACCTGTGTACAGTACCTGTGTCGACCCCCCGAGAGTTGAACCTGTGACCTGTGTATTCGCAACAGTTGGTAGGCTGTCGTAGGTCCGTAGGTTGTAGGGGTTCGATCTGTAGACCTGTCGAATAGAGGTCTTAGTGAGTTCCAGAAGTCGTAGCCGTAGCTCTTCTGAAAGGTCAAGTTCGTAGCTGCTACAGTCCTGAGAGGTCAAGGTCGTAGCTGTTACAGTGTTCGAAAGGCCAAGCCCACAGACTTCCGGAAGGTCCGGATGTGGCCTTTCGAAGTTGTCTCACGTTTGTACAGAGGCAAGTGGGCAAGTGGTGAGCCCAACTGCGTTACGTCGGCAGTGCGACTGCATCGAGTTGGCAGTGCACACCCATGCAGGCAACGGTACCGGTCCCAGTCAGTCACAGTCCGGTCGAGCAAGTACCGTGTGGGACTGTGTGCACCAGGGCCATGGGAAAGGGGCAGACCAACGAGTTACAGAAGTATAAATCAAGAGGCAGCGTCCAGCCATTCATTCATTCCTGCGTAAGCCATGCGGAAGCGCTGCTTGAGCGACTTGTGCGAGGTGGTCTGCAGAGTGCCCGAAGACGAAGTGGGCTGGAAGCGATAGTTAGCCATAGCTAGTGAGGGACAGCGGCCATAGCCGCCATAGCTGATAGGCGAGTGAGTGTGTACGAGGGTATGTGTATGAGTGTGGGATATCCAGGGTGATCCGGAGTTGGAGTATGTGTGAACAGTGGTGTTGAACAGAGAGACGAGAGTTGGGGTGTACAGGCGCTGATGCGCCATAGCCTGTTGAAGCGAGCTGTATCCGAACTGTGTTTTCGACTCCCATATCTCTGAGCTTTGAGTGGGCGCTGTGCGCCAGTGTGTCCCACCATCATCTGTTTGCATGATTGCAGAGTGGAAAAGAAAGTGAGTGTGATTGCAATAACTTAGCTCCATCCTTCTTACGAAAGGCAAGGCATTTTTCTTATTATAGGGTACATGGCTAGGCTACCAGAGTGGCCCGGGCCGGGCCAGAGAAAAAAAGGAAAAAAAATAAAATTTCCATTTTTATATTGAATTTGTGAAGAGTTTCGATACGACCCTGTGGCGAAAGTTGTTCAGTTTATTTTTCTGGGTTTGTTTTTGTTGCTCGGACCTTCCCTGGTTCTGGCACGGCCGGGCGGCCTGGTAAAACAAGCTGACCCATGCGCCCCGGCTGGTAGCCTAGGTAAATGAAGTTCAAAATTTTCAGGGAAAGTTGGGCAATGGTGAGGAATGGGCGGAGCTACGTCTTACACAGCTTGCGAATGAGGCCAAGCCCAGGTTCAAGGCATTTGGCTGAAAGTCGGACTATGTCTCCGCCTCGAGTGTGGCATCACGACTTTGAGCATTAGTCATCTTTGCTTGTTTCTCGTGAGCAAGCTGGATAGAGTCATTGGCTTCACGAGTCAAACGATTCAGAGTATACTCGCATAGCGACCTTTTTGGATGCATCCGACCACAATTACAGTATCCTCTGGATGTATTTGACCACAATTGCAACCACGGAGTACTACAAAAAGTCCTAGTGCGAGTACACACTCATTGTGGTGAACCCATTGATCCAGCGAGGGACATGGAATTGAACGGTTTGTTTTATTAGGAAGCAGCAAGTCAGACGGTAAACGTGGGTGATAGACCAGGTCAAGGTAGGATGGAGACGTACGTGCAGCGGGGGAAACAACATTGTTCTGCGCTATCTCTATGGCAGTGAGCAGCTGGGCATCGTTCTGAGGGCGGAACCCAGTGCTTTCCTTAAGGGCCATCGCATAAAAGGAAAACAGGTGCTTACAGAAAGCGTAGACGACCAGGGAGGCCAGGAAGTTGCCGATATGATCAAAGGACGCTTTAGACACGTGCTTGACTGTGACAGAGGTAGTATGCAGGTAATGTGAAATGAGCGCACTGGGTCAGTCACGGTGTACAAATACAGTCGGTACAATTGTGGCCTAGGTAAGTCTTGGGGAGACCACACACGTAGTCGATGGAAACAGACAGACTGCCAGTGCGGCGTGCGGATGGGGAAAGCCTGTAGCTTCCTGGCCTTGGTATTTGGTAGGATTTGAGGGCTTAACAACTTGACAATAGGACAAGACCGGATGTAGTCATTGTTGTTTTTGACCAGTGAAGGCCAGTGGAAGTAGTGGGAGCGAAGATGCCCCACTGCTTTTGCATCATGGTGCTTGGGAAGGAGCTGTGTTTGTACGAACTTCGGCTGAAACTGGGAGTAGCCAGCCAAGGTGGTGGAAAGCATGTTGTTGAGTCGAAGATCTGGTTTGCCTAATCTGGCCTACCGATTAAGCCGGTCCTCCTCAACAAGGAGGGCAGAATATGAGATAACCTTGAGGCTTGTCTCAAGGGTGATGGCACAACAGACAGTCTGTGTATCGACCGATGGAAGGATCCTTGTGTGGGGAGAGTGGGCGAACAAGTGGCCGATGTCGAGGTGTTCGATGACAAAGGTAAATTTGACGCCAAAGGAGGATCCTATTTGACTGGAGGACAATGTCGGTGAGTGGAAGGACTGAGTGAGATTGGTCAGAGTTCAAGCGGAGGAGGGTTGGGAAGTGGGAGGTCCTGCAGCCGCGATGGCAGACTGCGGGGTGGCCGACGGAACCTTGATCTTACAGGGGAGCCACCCGGTGTTTGGGCAGTTGGTTTGCTTTCTTAGTCGTACCTACTGCACTCTACGGGCTACAAGGACGCGGTAATGGATGATGGGTTTTTTGGCACTTCCCGCTCAACCATATAAACAAGGGAATCCTCACAGCCAAACCAACGAAAGAAAGGGAAAAAAGAACGAAGGAAAGAAGAAAGGGTTTGTTTTTTCCAACTCCGTCCGTTTGTCCTCTGAATGTCAGCAGCAGCTTTCATGGTTTTACTTGTGAACTGGCGTGACTGCTAGCCAGCGTTGATTCCAGAGTTATTACCCTACTCTGACAAGTGTGTGTGTGTGTGTGTGTGTGTGTGTGTGTGTGTGTGTGTGTGTGTGTGTGTGTGTGTGCGCGCATATTTGAATGCAGGCATTGTTTGATGAAAACCAGTGGAGTAACCTGATTGAGCAGTTCAAGCAGGAGCACTTTCATCTGTATGGAATGACAGTGCAATCTTTGCTGAACATTCACCTACAGGCTGGGCTGTCAGCATTGAAGACACCGTATCCAGGCAGAAATAACACAGAGAAAATTGTTCCAAATACTAATCTGCTGGCATTGCACTCTGCTTTGTAGAGGGAAAACTGCATCTGAATGCAATCAGACTCACTCTCATTCACACTTCACATGTATGTAAACAGGTTGTGCAGCAAACTGGCGACGAGCGCCCACTCAAAACTCAGAGGTATGGCAAACAAGAACACAGTTCAGATACAACTCGCTTCAGATGGCTATGGCGACTCAGCACCCGTACAAGTCTCTGTTCGTCACTCACTCGTCGCTGCTTAACACACGCAGGATCACCCTGGATATCCCACACGCATACACTGCACACTCACACACTCACACACTGAACTCCATCTACAGCTATGGCGGCTACGGCCGCTGCTAACCTATTGCTATGGCTATGCTCCTCTCTCTTGCCCACTTCGTCTTCGGGCTCACTGCAGACCACCTCGCACAAGTCGCTGTGGAAGCGCTTCCGCATGGCTCACGCAGGAATGAATGAATGGCCGGACGCTGCCCTTGATTTATACTTCTGTAGCTCGTTGGTCTGGCCTCTTTCCCATGCCCGTGGTGCACACAGTCCCATATGGTACTTGCTTGACTGGATTAGGACTGACTGGGACCGGTACCGCTGACTGCATGGGTTTGCACTGCCGACTCGATGCAGTCGCACCGTCGATGTACTGCAGTTGGGGCTCACCACTTGCCCACTTGCCCACTTGCCTCAGTCTAAACGTGAGCAACTTCGAAAGGCCACTACTAGGACATTCCGGAAGTCTGAGTCCTGGCCTTTCGAAGATTGTAGCAGCTACGACCTTGACCCTTCAGGACTGTAGCAGCTACGAGCTTGACCTTTCAGAAGTTCTACAGCTACGACTTCTAGAACTCCCTAAGACTTCTACTCGACAGGTCTACAGATCGAACCCCTGTTCCCTACGGACCCTACGACAGCCTAAGAACTGTTACAACTACACAGGTCACGGGTTCAACTCTCGGGGTCGACACAGATACTGTACACAGGTATGGTGAGGACTAGGGATCGAGCCCTGGGATCTGCATCGGCTACTGCGAACTGGTGAATACCGTTTCATGAAGCATGTTCTATGGTATATGCTTGTTTGGCTATCAAGGTTGAGAATAGCGATCTATCGATTCTATTCCGATTGCTATTCTGCATGTCCGTGTTTTCACGATCTGTGAGCTTTTCTAGTTTCACTTCAGTATGTCCTACTTTCCTCTGAATGAAATTCAATGAATTGATGATGTGGTGTTTTTTGCGGTTTGGAGTAAGGTTGCTTTATGAAAACAGTTTGGCACTTCTAATTTCTCTTGCAGTATCTATCACGGCCGTGCTGCGTAGTTCGTCGGAACTTCGTTCTTTCTTCCTCTGAATGAAGTGTTCATGTGGCGGTCTTAGCATGCGGGAATAAGAGTGTAATGGCAAGGTTGGATTGCTTGTTGACGGGTGACCAATCGGCAGCTGATTGATGACATTGCATTGGAGGGAGGGGATGGCTGAGATCAACTCCTAGCCACTTTGTGGTGTGATTGCTGGGCTATTGTTCATGTTCATGTGCTACGGATGATTGGCACCAGTGCGATTACTGGCAGGTATGCTTGTGATCGTAAGGTTGCATGCGGTCCCGGTTGCATGTTTAAAGTTTGAAACCTGAGGAGGCGCTGTGTCGAACTGCAGGCTGCTACTTCCTCGCGTGGGGTTGGGGTGTGGCGGAGTAATAAAAATACGAAGCACAAGGACTGCAAAACGAATGGCTTGTGAGGTAGCTTTCCAGCCCGGGCACCCGGGGTACTCCACCGTGCCTGGAATGGTGCCCAGACCCCACCGTGCCTGGAATGGTGCCCAGAGCCCGGCCGGGTGGCCCCCCCCGAGCAGGCACCCGGGCACCTCTCACGGCGAGGCAGAAAAAGCCTCGTTTTTTTGTTTTTGTGCGTCCATCCTATTCTGAACGCGCAAACTTTTTTTTTGGCGGTTCGCACATTTTTTTTGGGGTCTGGTAGGCCCCGTTTTGTAGTTTTTGTTTTTTTTGGGATTCTGGCCGTCGATCTGCATCAATCGACGGCGCACGCTGGTCCAGAATTGAATTCGAATCCTGGGCTTCTCCTTCGTTCTCTTCTTCTTTCTTCTTTCTTCTTTCTTCTTTCTTCTTTTTCTCTTTCTGCGTTTCTTCTTTTTCTTCTTCTTCTTCTTCTTCTTCTTCTTCTCCCTCCTCCCTCCTCTGACGTGGTGCTCCTCCCTCCTTGCCCCCCCTCCATCACTTTGCCCCCTCCCTCCTCCCTCCTTCCTCTCACATGGCGTTCCCCCATCCTCTCTCCCTCCTTTCACGTGGCGCTTCTCCCTCCACCCTCTGACATGGCGCTCCTTCGTCCTCCCTCCTCCCTCTGACATGGCACTCCAGCGCAGGTGGGACACAGCAGCTGCTGTATCCCCCACCCCACAAACGGACAGTCCATAATCCAGCTCCCTCCTGCACCCCCTCCCCCCTCCCTCAGGATACAGAAACCGACATGCATGAAAATGAAAGAAGAGGCCGGAATTGACCACTACTGCCAAAGCACAGCAAGGTCTGGCTGTGAAAAGAGGAAAAAAAAAACCTGAGTGTTTTTTTTCTGTGCCCGGGGTAACCCTGGCTTGGTCCCTACCCTCGTGGAGTGCCTGGGCCACCCGGTTGGGCACCCCGGGAAAGCTAGCTTGTGAGTCCATTTAGATAGCTGCAAGGAAACCTCACGACCTAATCCTGTGATTCACTCTAAGATTCGCCAACCCTGTACCCCACAGTCAGGCAGCCTTGTGGCTCTCAACGTTCAGCTACCTAAGTTGGCATTGCAGTGGCTCATTGCCTGAAGAGGAATATGGGTGACAAAAACCCAGCTTATGCACTTTGTTAGTCTCTTTAGAAACTATTTGACTCAGTCTAGACTCTAGACTGAGACTAGACTGGGGGTAGAGTGGGACAAGAATGGGACTAGAGTGGGGCTAGAATGGGATTAGACTTAGACCGGGACTATCCCTATACAGACTGGTTACAGGACTGATGAACTGCCCACTACCCAGACCATATCTGCAGCCTACTGCATAGGTGCACCGTGCGGTGTGGTGCTTGGTATGCAGTGTGCGGACGTGTGATGCATGAGCCGTGTGCGACGCCCACAAGTCCAGTGCGAGGTGTTCTGCACATCTGCCCTTTGTGTGCACACAGGTGCATGTTTTTTTTTCTTTCTTTCTTTCTTTTTTTTTTTTTTTTTTTTTTCGTGTGTGTGTGTGTGTGTGTGTGTGTGTGTGTGTGGGCTGTCTTTTATACACATCTAGATGTGTATAAGAGACAGCTCCCTCTCTCCCTCTCTCCCTCTCTCCCTCTCTCCCACTCTCCCTCTCCCCCTCTCGTCCTCTCTCGCTCACTCTCTCCCTCTCTCCCTCCCTCTCCCTCTTCCCCGCTCTCCCCGCTCTCCCCTCTCTATTCCTCTCTGTCCTCTCTGTCCCTCTCCCTCCCCCCCTTATACCTTCGCATTTCTCTCGTTTGTTATCGTCTGTTCCCACTTGCTCCTCATTCATGGCTATGTCGCCCGCAATTCCTGGAGGTACGTCTGAAGTTAACTGTTGCACGCACTACTTTGCCATTCTTACCCCGCTGAAGTTAACTGTTGCACGCACTACTTCGCCATTCTTACCCAGCTACTGCTTTGCCATTCTTACCCAGCTACTGCTTTGCCATCGTCGATCCAATCTCAACGTGCCTACGATGATCCTGCTGGGGCAGGAAGGAAGGAAGTCTTGAAAGTAGAAAATGGCACATTTGCTGCCATGTTTGCTTTCTGGACATCCCCCCCCTCCCTCCAAAAAAAAAAGAGAAGCACCAATAGAACGTACGTTCATTATGCCTGTATTTGGGGTGACTGTCAATCCAGTTACAGGGATAACGACCGTATGTTCTATTCGGGGGAAGACTGTAGGTAGGTGATCAATTGTTGTGGTGAATGGATGAATGAATGGATAAGGTGCGTCTGAGCGTATTTATATGAGAACTATGTGACTGGGGGCACGGTCGCATTTGGTCAAGATAACCTCGGTCGGTTCGCCTGATCTCAGCGGACACCCGTACAGTCGTGACGTCATCTTCTGACTCGAATTGCAGTTTGAGACCTGTTGATGGGAGTCTTACTGTGACTATGCCCTTCTTGTGTTGGGGTTAAGAGGACATGCTCTGGCGTCAGTTTGTGGACCTTTTGTTCCAGACGGCATTCTGAGTTAGTCGGGAAGAGCGACCTTATATCCTTGTTGCCCTGATGAGCTGTCTGCATATAGCAAGGGTGCAAACACAAACAAAAGAGAGAGAGAGAGAGAGAGAGAGAGAGAGAGAGAGAGAGAGAGAGAGAGAGAGAGAGAGAGAGAGAGAGAGAGAGAGAGAGAGAGNCTCAGACAGGCCCACAACTTTCCCATCTGGGAGCTGTCTCTTATACACATCTATATGTTTATAACAGTCTCTCTCTCTCTCTCTCTCTCTCTCTCTCTCTCTACCTGGGCTGAATCTTACTCTTTGAGATGCAAGGGGTTGAGTCTTACTCCTTGAGATGCAAGTGGTGAATTGTTTCCTTTTCTTTTCTTTTGTCAATTAATCCTTCGTTTCTTGACGCCAGGGGGGTTAACCTTTTGTTTCGTTCTTTGAGGTGTCATCGTAAGGATATCTCGTATTCTGTTAAAATGAGTAGCTCGCAAGACTCTCTTCTTTGGCTATTCGAGTGCCGTCCCTTGAGAGCAAAGGCGGGTGAGAAACACTCCTCTCTCTCTCCACACATTGAGAAAGAGGAAACGAAGCAAACTGCTGGAACAAATATTTTCATTGCTGTCTATTGTGTAGAACAGGGTTCAATGCTTGTTATTGAAAAAGAAACAACCAGTTGGTGAATTTCTTCTGCTTGACCGTTTGTTTCTGGATGACGGCTGCATGCCATACTTCGTTGTGCATCGTACATGTGGATGCTGAATTCTTAGCTCCATTGTAAATGGGAGAGGTTTCAACCATGGTATCTGCAGACCCGGACCCAGACATGTCTGGACAGACACCCAGACATTTGTCTGCACCAGTCCAGACATCCAGTCGTCCTGACAGGTACCAGACCACCGGAAAGGACCGGACCCGGACTGTCTGGACTGGTTCCCCGAACCCCAAAAATGTCCGGACCAGTAAAAAAATAGATAAAAAAAATGGCGCATAATAGTATGATGACCTGCCCCTCGTTACCTCCACTGCTCTTTACCTCCCTCATTACCTGCCTCCTTGTTACTTGCCCCCTCGTTACCTCCACTGCATTGACTACTCTTTACTTCCTCCCTCCACATCGCCGCCTCCATATTACCTCCTCCCTCCACATCGCCGCCTCCATGTTACCCCCTCCTCCCTCCACGTTCCCTAATCCCTCTACATTACCTCTCCCTCCACGGTACTTCCGCTGGTCGCCACGTTATGTCCTCCTCCCTTCACGATCTCCGGCTCCCTCGATGTTGTCCTCCTCCCTCCATGTTAGCTTCACGATGTTCACTCCACGTTGTCCTTCTCCCTCCTCATTGCCGCCCCCATGTTACGCTCTCCTCTGTTCATGTCACCTCCTCCTCCCCCCACGTCACCTTTGCGACGTTCCGTCCATGTTATGTCCTCCTCCCTTATAATCGCCGCCTCCATGTTACATCCTCCCTCCACGTTGCCTCCTCCCTCCATGCTACCTTCACGACGTTCCATGTTATGTCCTCCTCCCTCCACGTTACCTCCCCCCTCTCCACGTCATTTCCTCCTCCCTCCACGTTACCTCCCCCCCTCTCCACGTTATGTCCTCCTCCCTTTATGATCTCCTCCCTCCATTGTGTCCTCCTCCCTCCACGTTACCTCCTCCGTCCATGTCACTACCCCGTCTCCATGTTATGTCCCCCTCCCTTTACGATCTCCTTCTCCCTCCATGTTCTCCTCCTCCCTCCATGTTACCTCCTCCGTCCACGTCACCTCCCCCTCTCTCCAAGATATGTCCCCCTTCCTCCATGTTCTCCTCCTTTCTCCATGTCACCTTTGGGACGTTCCCTCCATGTCCTGCCCGCCTTCTACTTGATTCCTGCTTGTTGAAGAACAGCAAGAAAGCAGCGGGAAAAAAAAAACATTGTGAATGGAGAGAGAGAGAGAGAGAGAGAGAGAGAGAGAGAGAGAGAGAGAGAGAGAGAGAGAGAGAGAGAAATGACTGCTGATAAACTGAGTATGCCTATGAGCTGAGTGCAGTCTATGAACTCGACTGTATGTCTTTGACAACTGAAACTTCCTATGCTCTCTCTCTCTCCCTCCTTCATCAACTGATGTATTTAGCGGTATCCGTAAAGAGTCTAAAGACAGTCACATTCTTATGCGCTTTCGCGCCTTCCTTGAACTGCAATGAACTCTGAATACAATCTGTGGCTACACTATTGCCAAACCTGTTTGTCTTTGTGCAATACCTATTCCCCTTGACAATAATCGCCCATGGTTTTAAATGAGGACAGCTTTTGTTACGAGGATGGCTGCAACAAAGAAGATCCTCTTTCGCAAGAGACCTTCAGAAAACTCGCTGAAGGTTTGCCGTTTGCGAAACACATACATTCGAAGCTGGTGTGCGCGGTCACGAAGGAGCTGATGAATGAGGACAACCCACCTTTGGTACTGCCAAATGGCTATGTATATAGCAAGAAGGTACCTACCCAATCCTATCATCCGCTTTCTCATGCAACATTGTCCACTCTTATCCAGCCAGTCTTAAGACTATCCGATTATCTCTTCGATCTGACATCCAAGCTCGTCTTTTGTCGAATTAAGGCAAGTTCACTTCGTTTCTTTGAATGAACGTTTTGTTACTGCGTGTAACTTTTTTTTTTTTATAATTCTGATTATTTTTTAAAATTTGGACCATTTCTCGATTTATGCGTCTCATCCTTGCGCAGGGGCCATTTTGCTAATTACCCTTCTCTGTATCACTCCAACTTTAACGGATGTCCCGAAGGACATTACTGCGTGTAACTTGTTATCTCCAATGTCCAAGAAAAAGATGCATTCTAAAAGATGCATTCTGTGTATGATAAGTTTATTGAACTTCGTTCGTTTCGTGTCTGGCTATGACCCAGCCATGTCAAAGGACCCATGTTCAAAGTGAGGGGAGGGAAGTGTCTACCATGATTGTTTTATGGGGCAATTCAGTATGGGATGAGTCAAAATTTGGGTGGTTGCTTGTCCACTGCCTGAGTGGAAGAGATGTCTATGGGCAGGTCTGTGAGTTTGGGAACAAGGCAGGACAAGGACAGGATAATACAGAACCAGCTGCGCCTTTTCTCGCCAACAAAAGGAGAGTTAATAAAAACAAAATTACTTCAACGTTTTCCCCTCGTTTATCAATCGATGTGCGTCTGCATACGCTCTCTCTCACGTATCTATCTCGGCCATCTGAGTGTGACCTCTCTCTCTCTCTCTCTCTCTCTCTCTCTCTCTCTCTCTCTCTCTCTCTCTCTCTCT